CCCAGGGATACACCTTGTTATTTTTCCTTTCTCTTTCTCCCTGGAGCACCTGGAGGGGGATACCTGCCAGGAAACATTCCATGTCATGATTTCTGCTGAAAACAGAGGGCAATTGCCGACCTTTCTCTTTTTGTTTCTAAAAGCGCATGTTGGTTCAAAGATGACCATGGTTAGTAGCGATGTTCCGCTGCCTCGGCCACGGGACCGTATGAGCTGTTCAATCAGGGTGTTACTGGATGAGGCAGAATTCCCAATCAACAGGAGTCTAACGCGTTAGCGCTGGGTCTCAGCTGAAGCGTTTTAGCTGAAGTGCCTCATCTTAATTCCACAGAATTATTGTCCCCCATTACACACCGGTCGTTACCATTAAGCATCAGTGGGCTTCAATCAAGTTCTCTAGGAGAAGTCCTCATTAAATAGAAGGCCTAATTTTATTTTATTTTTTAATCTCATTCCTGGGAGAATCACTCACTGACAATACAGAAATGGCAGTAACGACAATATCTATGTAAACTCAGATTTGCAGATTAGCTGAGCTCAAATAGTCAGCGCTATGGTTTGAGTAAGTGATTTTCAGCGTGCTTTTTGTTTCAGTTTGCCACTGAAAAATCTTTATTGCAAAATATTTCTATTGATAAATAATGAAGATTTGCTTCAGTTAAATTCACAAGGACATACTGCTCGACGTGTTTGGGCAGCCATCGAGTAACCATGAAAATATCCATTAGCTCTAGAAAGACTCCCTTCCCCATTTTAGCCACCAACGGACATTGAAGTAGTGAGTGATTCACAATAAACTTACGTTACTACTGGAAAAAAAACCACAAAAACTAAAATAATAATCACACATCCTTTAACTTCTGAGGTATAACTTTTTTTTAACAGTAGAACATCTTCGTATTTGATTTAAAAAAAAGAAAGGTAAGACATTTTCAGTGTATCTTTGAAGCTCTACTTAATGTCAAAGCAAATTTCAAACAGTTAACGTGATCACAAAGCAGCTGGTGTTGCTCTCCAAACTAAAGAATTATCCTGAAAAAAACACCTCTTCTGGCATCTGGAGCTGTATTAAATTTACAATGCAGCGTTAACGTAACCTTTCCAGCCCTTTTTCTCCCCACCCCCACTTTTTTTTTTTAAACGACTGTGATATGAGTGAAATCTAGCATTTAATTTAGTTTCATGTATCTTAACTGCACTACTAAATATCTAAATCATACGACATATCTACAAGCGAGGTTGAGGCCAGGCTCCGAGGCTGGATCCCAACGCCCTGGAAGTTTGGTTTTCAGCCAAACCGAGCCCGAACTGCGCAGCTTCACGCCCATCTCTAATCAGAAGCATTAACTTGACACCCTTCCAGACATGAGTAACCATTCTTCCATGCTGGAAGAACTCAATCAGATGCATTGTACAGCTCTAGCTCCATGTCTCTTATTTATATTTGTGTCTCAATAACAAAGCCTGAGATTTGGGCTTTCATTCAATTTCCATTAAAGACAAAAAAAAATGCCTTTTTTTGATGAGACTCTTTCAGTTCCAAGTTTCAGTAGAAATTTAAATGAGAACCTTGACATAAAGATTCTCTTTTTTAAAAAAAAAAAAACAAACAATATCTTAATGTCTCCTGGAGCTCTGACAAGCACTACTCCGTTGAAAATTAATATATTTCGTTCCGCAGAAAAACATGGGTACAAATCAAAAGATACTCAACCGAGTATCGCTGCAGAAGTCTGTTTGCATAAGGAAGGTTAAATGCGTGGAAATGGTTGAAAGAGGAGGGTCCTAGTAACAACAGCTGTACAAATAATTTATTAGGAAAAAACAATAAAGGTTTTAGATGTGGCCTAAGAATAAAACATGATGAATTAAATCATAAAATGAATAAAGTACCCTACTGCACTGGGCTTTTTGACCCTGCTTTTACTGGTAGGATGAACAACTGTCCTTTCAAACCTAATAAACAATTCTGCACATTAATTACTTCACCTGATATAAATCTTAACAATTAAAATGAAAAGGAACATGTTCACGGTGTGCAAGCACATTCACTAATATTTGAAGTAATCTTCTCTTCCCCACTTCCGACCGTAAGAGCAGCTGACAGACCACACTGAGCAGGCAAAAAAGGGTTTGCCCAATTGTAAAAATTAAATCCCTCCAAAAATCAACCAAAAAAGAGGTGGACTGAGAAGAAAGAAAGAGTGGAGAATTCAAGAACATTCTTAACTTCTGTTACATTCTGGACAGTCATGCTTCTATCCGTAGAAACAACAAGGCAGAGAGAAAACCGGCTGCCTTGGCTTATTGTCTTTACAGTTCATCATGGCTAATTTCCTTTGGAACCAGAGCTTTTTCACTCCCAATGTGTAAAATTTTGCCAACTGAACTACTTTTTTTTTTTTTTTACTCTACATACTGACCTCTGTAGCCCAGAACAAAGCTCATCAACCAACGCGCCCGGTTTTGAACAAGCCTGAATGAAGATCCTGCTTTCGCTCAAAAACCTCAAGCACTTCACAATTTGTCTCAGAGGGTTCATTTTTGTACCGCTGAAAAAAAAGTCTCGTTAACATTTTTGGTTTTGACAAAGAGTAAGCTAAACCTAGTGGTTTTGCCTGATCTTGATTAATTTGGGGGTTTTGCACTGAAATCTCACACTGAAACTCAAAGGGTATGAACTCACACAGACTGAAAGTGCAGAAGGAGTTTAAGTAAAACAGCACCCGAGAGTTTCACTTGGCTCTGCTCTTTCCAGCTTGGCCTGTCGTAAGGCAGAAACCCCAGATGAAGAGTCTATCCCAGCTCATTTTCTTCTCCAATAAACTGCTGGGTTTGGTACAAAACTCCAAAGCAAGGCCGTACTTTCTCACACGCAAGAGGCGTGCCAGGTGGACAGACCGACGGCATTCCGCCGGGAACCACGTGGGTGCTGGAAGAGCCACCGCGGTTTCCCTGTTCCCTGTCTTCCCTGGAAATCTGAAGCTGTTTCAGGGTCTCTAACATCACCATTCGGGGGGTGGAGATACAGAGGTAAAACAAAGAATAAAGCTGACCCTAGAGATAGATTTCTGCCAAGGCAAATTAGATCCAAAGTCCTCCCGCAGTTCAGCACCTGATCAAAATCGAGGATTTAAGTTTCACTCGCCATAGTGAGCAGGAGATTGAAATCAGATCCCAATTCCTTCAGTGTTCAGGTGTGTTTGCATCCAGAATTTATATTTTGGCTGTTACAGGCAGTATTATTTGTAAGATGGCAGTGCCTTGAATCCCCAGGTGCTAATCAGGATACCCTTGTGCGAGGTTTTTTTACAAACCCATAACAAAAAAAAAGATTTTATTTCTGTTCCATTAAATTCCACAATCAGTTATTCTCTAAGAGCTAACACGATCTGTTTACACGCCACAAACCGAGCTTTTCTTTACTCCCAGATTTTTTTGCCCTCTTGGCAGATGTTGTCTAACTGGTGGTTTCTCCTTTATGGAAATTGCCACTTGCAGAAAAAAAACCAGCACAAATTTCCTAACAACGAGCACCTCTTTTTTCTAACGTCTTATCATCTCTAAAAACACAGAGCGAGAAAGTCACTGCAGCCTCTTTAAACCACTAGTGAAAAAAATTAAGTTGGTCAGGAGTTTTTACTTAAATTTATTTCCACTCAAACCAAAAAATTAACAACTCTTTTATATTTTTTTGGCCTCCATTGCTTTAAAATTATTGGAGCTTTCAGAAGCTTTCATTTTGCAGTATTTCTCTTAAAAGTCGAACTCCTTCCTGTGAATTTTCCATTGCTAATAAAAGTCAAGAAAAAAGAAGAAAAAAGAAAAAAGCACTTGTCTGTGAAAACATGTTTTGGTGGAAAGTTTTAAACTCCTGTGGAGCCTTAACTTCATTTATAAATGAGGAAGCTGATGCAAGTGACGAAACACGAATTGCCAAACCTAAGGATGTCACCTTCCCACTACAAGTCTACAAGAAAACTAAAATCCTCTTTGTGCCAGGGACGTGACACGGTGAAGGTACAACAGTAACGGCAAGAAGCGGTAACGGGATCGACGCGGATTTTCATCGGTGGGTTTCAAAGACTCTGCCCGGCGACGCACACGCGTGCTTTCCAAACGCTCGAGACCACAAAGTTTCCCCGAGGTGAGCATCCCCGAAAAACACCAAAAGAAGGGAAAAAGGTTTCATCCCAGGTCAGCAACTGAGGGCTCCAGCCCAGCTCCTGGTGCCCTCTCGCCAGAGCACGCGCTCCGTTCGCGTCTCTGTGAGGACCGAGGCACGGGTAAAATGCTTATTTATTAACCGTGGTTGCTAAAAAGGTCAGGGGATGGAAGGTGGGGAGGCTGTGCCTGCTTTTCTCTTTGCCAGTGACACACTTCACCTCCTTCTGTGTTTTTATTAGCTGGTATTCACAATACATCAGCGGCAGCTATGATGAAACCAGTGGCAGATTTCACTGCAAAGCAGCTGGGTCATCGTCCCACGGGTCTTGTTGCTTTGCTGCGTGAGATCTTAAAGTGACCATCGCTATTTTGGCTTCCTTTTTTAAAGGAACTGAAAGGGAGGGCACGAGAGTGTTGCGTTAAAAGGCAAAAGAGATGGAAAGAGAGGGCGAGTGAAGGGAAAATGAGGAGATAGCTTGTGTGCCACGTACAGAGCTACTTTGAAAAATTCGGAGGCATCTAAGTATCACAAGCATGATCCCCGCTGTGGGCAGCTGGATGTGCGAGTGCTTTGCCCGAGGGTGTCAAATCAAATATCCACTGCTGGTTGGTACAGTGCAGCACTGCCCCTTGGGGATTCAGAGTGGAAAAAGAGGAAAAAAGGGGGGGAAAACAGGCTTAAACACAACAAATGGAGAAAAGCTTTAACAATATCAGATCTAGCTTATCATACGCTGTCACCATATTTATTACGAACCGTGTAGGAGAGAGGAGAGGGAAAAGGAACAGAAGAAAAAAGCAGAGAGGTTAATGCTGAGCGTTATAAGACTTACCTGGAACCGTCTCATATCTCTTGGGTTTCCTGCTGTTTTCAAGCAATTCTGATTGCACTTGAGAAAAAATTTTAAGAAGAATCTGGAAAGATAAAAGAACCACGTCACTTCTATTAACCACAACAGAACATGTGTTGGTTTATTCTGTTTTGAAGTGTACAGCACAATGATTTACATGACGGTGTATCAGCAGACCAGGATTGTAAGAACTTAGCAAAAGAGAAACCAAAAAAAGGAGCAAAACTAAACCCTAACAAACAGAAGTGCAAAAAAATCCAGTGAAGTACAACCAATGTGACTGTAATCCATTCCGAGTTGGGCTGCTCGCTGCCGTAAATCAACATATCTACTCCTATTTATGCCCCTTTCCTCACGGCATGTTTGACCACACGATTCTAGTTTCTTTCTTTATCTCTCCCTTGCATACAAGGTCTTTCTTTTGCCGTCTGAAAGGATTTTTCATGAAACAATATAGAAAGATAATGTCTTTGTAAAAACTGCACAAAAACGACGGGGCAACTCGGAAGCAGATAAGCCTCGAAACTACTTAGAATGTACTAAAAAAAAAAAACAACCAGAAACAAAAACAGCTCCCAGAAGAAGCCGATGAGATTTCATCACGACGATGGTTTTAGTTATTAAGATTTCAGTGACTAAAGCAGAGAAGCAGAACTGCCGAGAGCCCGGATTATAATCTTACACAGATTTTGAGAGAGGATCACAAAATCATGACCTGCAGGAATACATGACAGCTCATGCTGTCCGAGCAGATAAACCCATTAACATTGGACAAAGTTCTCGCGCCAATTATTTTTGCCCTGTCACATATGCCTGTCTTTACGTGCGATTATTCTGCAGAGTTTAGCTTGTCATCCTCACAAGTTGAATCCTCAGCACGCCTGATTGCCCTGTCCAACACTATGCACTAGAGCACATGGATTTTATAGTTTAGAAATATCAGGCAGGCATTTTTCTCTAAGCATTTTCACAAAATTTTGTGTCTAATCGAGGGAGATGAGGATTCATCCCTTTGTTATCTGATTAATCTAATCAGAAAAAGAAACTACATAAAGCATCATAAAAAATAAAACTAGCATGCCTTCAAAATGCAGACAGAACAGGCAAGAATTGGTTTTGGCATCCTCTGTCACAAGTGAAAATATTTTCTGTGATTCTTTTCATTTCCTTTTGTCAGACAAAGTGGGTTTAACTGCAACAATTAAAATTTTTTTTTAAATAAAAAACAACTCAAAGACTTTAAGACAGATTTAGAGTGAAAAAGACTTGGATATAAGAAAAAACAAATAGTTGAAGAACTGATTTAGAATACAAAGAACACTTTATTTATTTATTTCTCTTGCTGAGTGCTTTCCTTAAAAAAAAAAAAAAAATCCGCTTTTGCAGTAAGTTAAAGTCCCAGGTGAGCCAGGCCTATTTCCCTTTCTGTTACTATGACAACGATTTTTTACCGCAGTCCCTAAGTCCCTTCAGAACTCACACATTCATGCCTTGAATTAGAACTTTAAAGGAGAAAGATGTATATTTCCAAGGGTTTACCAACAACAACAACCAAAATAGTCCTCACTCCCGACAATAAAGCAGAAATCCACACTCCCTTGTTATTGCCGCTTTCTTTGCAGCGCTTACACGGGTATTTCTCTTCCATCTGCCTCAAACATACAAAGAAATATCGAAGGATCCGATCCATTTATACGTTGCTTGAACAAACAAAACCCTTCGAAAGCCTCATGACAACCGAACCCACAAAAAAGATCACGTCGCATAAAAAGGCGCTTGCAAAATACATCCTTCCAGCAAACTTTTTTAATTAAAATGTTCCTTTCTGTCCTTAAACCTCTCATTTTAAAAATATCTACGTTATTTATTTTCTCCGTGAGGGCATTTTGCAGGCTCTTATTTTAACCTCCATCGCTCCTTCTCATTTATGACTCGAAGAGCTCCCTGGTTCTCCCCGTGGCCGGGAGCAGGGAGGACGCGCAGCCGTTCCCCTCCCGCTGGCTCGGGGCTCCTGCAAACACAGCCCTGGTCACCTCCTCGTATTCCCAGAAAGTCCTAAAAATCCCTCCTAAAAATCCTCCCAAGCTTCACGCCTCAGGAGCGGCAGCGAGTGAGTATGTTCCATCAACAAAGTCGTACTGACTCCTCGTGCTAAAACCTTCCATGGGAGTGATTCAGTGAGCAAGATTTTGTCTGCAAGAATGTTTTCAGAGCGAAAAATATTATGCACGCCGCACACTCAGAGATTCACAGGAGAATCTGAGCCAGAAACGTTACTCACAAACACTCCTTTTTATCCTGCCCTCTTGTTACAGATATGAAAAAATATTTGCAGATATATAAACAACTGACTGAGGAAAAACTGCAGGACAGAACCCAACTATAGAATGAAACCAAGGCAAGTAACTTTTACACAAAAATCAATGAGCCGCTGGGTAATGGCTTATTTTGGAGAATAACTGCGAACAAAAATCCACAAGAACTTGTTACTTTCAAGTCAAATAAATGATCGAGTTAATCAGGGAAATGTCTGCTTTCCTTTTTAATTTTTTTTAAATGCTTGCACCCCTACTCAGCTGGATTAGAAACCTGACCTAAAGAAAGAAGGAATTCCTAGCAAAGAAAGGTGTCTGTCAGAGAACTCGCTGTGTCAGCTGAGCAGACTTTGGGAAGAGCTAAGAGGCTGCCGGTACCATACGTTACACAACCTCCTACAAGGCAGATACAGCAAGGTGAAAATTCTAAATGTATATTTAGCAGAATCCAGGACTCGTTGCAATGGCAATGAATGAAATTTGCATATTCTGCTAAACATCTCCAAAAAATTGGGGTTCGGATCCCCAGCAAACCTACATCAGCAGGGTGCGTAAAAATTAACTTGGATTTCAATTCGATCCACGCTGATTAATACTAACGGGCATATTGTCCCTCAAAAATACACAGAAAACGAAACTCTCCTTCTCTCCAAGCCGCGTGCAGAGCATTCTCATCCTCCACCGACTCCTTTGCAATAAACAGCGTTCAGCACGCTGGCGCCCGGAGCTTGAGGGGCTTTAGCCGGGATCTTTAACCAACAGCAATTCTGGGAGTCCCACTTGAGACATCCGAGAGGTGCCGGACTTTCGGGAACTGCTGAGCTGCTGAAAATTGTGCACCTTTAAGATATCGCAAAAGAGGCTTCAGTAACGCCTCACCTCACTTTTCAAAGCGCTGGCTTTGGGCTTTAGTACTTAAACAGTTTTCCTGTGCATCGTCTGTGCCGAGATATTTGTTGTTTCTGTGGAGCTCACTGGATATGCTGCACTGACAGCTCTCCCTCCCATCACCCCAGGTTTAGATTTACCTTTATTTTGACACACACACAAGAATTTTTGTCCTTCCTCTAGTCAAACCACGTCTCTCTTTTTTCCTTTCAGAGTTTGTCCAGGTAATTTTTAGCTGCAACTGGGCATCTGCATGAAGTATTTGGTAGGTTTTTATATAAACATATATATTTTAAGTGGTTGCATCTGGGCAAGGCATTAATATTTATTGCAGTATTAGAATAAAAATGACTTGGAGGGAGCAAAGAGGAGGGAAGGTTTAGCACTAAATGAAGCTGATTTAGGAGTAACAGTAGAATTGCGGAAAGGCTTTATTAATTTTTTTTTAACGAGAACCTTTAGCCAGCTTTTGGCCTCAACCTATACATGCAGGGGGCAAAAAAATATATTAAAAAAAATTAGCTCCTTTTCATGTTTCTTAGCTGGCCCTTGTTGCTTGCTAGGGATGGCGTTAGCTGTGAGTTTAGCAGGTAATTCTGGTTGCAGCCAGGAAGCATGGCCCAGCCATCTCAAGATCAACATCCAAGGGTGCTGGGAGAAAACCTAAATCCTTTTGAATGACTACCACTAAAAATTCTGGCATTGCTATAGAAAATCTGATTAACTTAATGCATAGACATATAATTAATGAAGACATAACTACAGACTTAGCCTTTTTCTCCCTATTGTCTCTCTCATAGAATCGAGCTCTCTATCTACACACTGATGCACTTGCAGAGGTCTCCAAAACGCCGCTTTAGCTAGGACTCCCTCTTCTAGGATTTGAAAGGAGTTATTTTAAAAGTTACTGCTCCTCCTACCAGGAGTCACCACCCTGCTAGGAGTTAGGTTGATGAATCATTTAAACACCCCTTTTTCACTTCAGTGCAAACACAGCTGGGTTATCCCAACTACTCTTCTGCAACACTACGAGCAAGGCTACTGGACATGTTGACTCCCACCTTGTCTGTGCATGCCCATACTTTAAGGTTCTGTGCCTACCAGAGGCAACATAAAGATGTGGCTAGAACTAGAAAGCACGTCCCACACCTCTGAGAATGTTTATCTTCCATCTCAGATGATTGAGACAAACCTTAAAGGAAATCCTGTTGGAGTCAGAAAAAAAATAAAACAATCTTTCTTGTGACTTCAGGAGGACTAGATGGAAGCCCTAAAGAGCAGTCCCACATGCAACAGAAGGTGTAGGTTTGGGGGTTCGGGTTTTTTTAAAATCTATTAATGTTCTTTTACAACTCTGCCGCAAGACCTGGGACCGATTAGTCTTGCTGCATAAAGAGATAATAAGCTTTGTGCTTTTACAGCGCCATTCTGTGGGACTGAAACTTCAATGAATTCTGCCTCAAAACCCCTCTGCAGCAGGTGGTGTAACTCACCATTTCACAGGCAAAGATGCCAGGACCTGGCAACTGGGAAGGAATTGCTCCCCATCCCATGGCAGGTCTGCCGCAGAGCCGGGACTGCGACTCACATCTGCTGCCTCCTGGTTCTACATCTTAACTAGCCTTCCAACCCACCTTTTGTGCTTTCTTAACATACAGAATCGAGGGATATAGAATTGGTTTTATCTTGTGAGCCACCTCTGGGTACACTTCAAAAATCTCCCTTGCAAAGCAAATACTGAGAGAATCCTGTCCTGTCTGGGTTACTGCAGAATTTGGATCCATGGCCTCAGTCATTTCATGGCATGAGACTCTGCCTGTCACCTTGTAGGGAACACATGGCAGCGTTGTGCTTAAGTCAA